AATTGAATATCCCTTCTTGCGTAAATAGCGATTCATCGCTAAATATCACTCGAGATGGGTACTCTGGATCTCGATCTACCCTTTTTAAAAAGTTTTGACAAAATGTTCTTCTGAGAGGATAATTTTCTGGTCGTAACTGTTGCACAAGAGTATAATGAAAAGCATGCAAGTTTTCTTCTCGTAATATCCTGTGTACAGTTGAACGCGATAATCCGAATTCTCGAGCAACAACCCGAATACTCGTTTCGGGCTTTTGCTCAAAGGCTGCAATAACTTCTTCCGTATTTCGCAAATTTCTTGCGACTCGATCTCTTCCAACGTCATGTCTGTTTGGAAGGACACTGCCGGTCTTGTACAATCTTTGAGCTTGGAGTATTACAAGAGCCGACGGATGTCTTGCACGGTTCGGATATAATTCCGCGTATCGCATTGCAGCAGGATAATGTTGTCCATGGCACTCACCGAGTACCATTAGCATATCGTAATACTCTTCATATGTGTAAGCCATATCGATTTCTGATGATCAGGTTGTGACGATACGCCCCCGCCTCGTCAGCACAAGGGACCGACCAGCCGCCCCTGGCGCTCAGCGCCACAACTCCGACTAAACACGCGCACCGAGCGTGTTACGGGAGAGCGACCCCCTCTCCGCAGCCCCCGCCGAAGCCCATCGGCGGGGGTATATAAGCCGCCGCCGCGGAGCGACGGCTACCAGTCCGGTCCCGAACCTACTCCTGTCGAGACCGTTCCTCCTGCGAAGAGAATCAGGGCGCCTGATTTCTTCACGTTCCTTCCGAAGAGAGTCAGGGCGCCTGACTTCTTCACGTTCCTTGCGAGGAGAGCCAGGGCGCCTGGCTTCCTTGCGTCCCTTGCGAAGAGGGTCAGGGCGCCTGACTTCTTCACATCTCCTGTATTCAGCGAAGAGAGCCAGGGCGCCTGGCTTCTTCGCCTTCCGCCCGATCAGGGCACCCGTTGGCACCAACACCGTGCGCACAGAGAAGGCCAGGGCGCCTGGCTTCTTCTCTCTGTCGGGCCAGGGCGCCTGGCCGACATAGACCAGCTATCGATCTCGCTGTGCCTAAGTGCCACACGGCAACCGACCATCGAGGACATCCGCGCCCGCTCCACCGTTACCGACCGAACCGCTCGGAGCGCCGGACATACCGCTGACTGGTCCCGCCGACTTACCGACCGTCTCTCTGAACCTCGGTAAAGTAACGCTAACATGCGTTGGTCGTCTCACGCTTTCTTGCCTACCTGGCCCGACGAGCATATCCGAGCGCAAGAAAAGCGAACCGTCACAAGGTCTTAATCTTTCGCCCTAAAAAGAACGGTTTTCCTTTTGTCGCTCTAAAAAGAGCGGATCTTCTGAGGATTTTCCGCTTTTTGTAATCTCTCGCTTCCGAAAATCTTCCGCTTCAAGCGATCGATTGAAGGATTATTGAGCGAAAAATCGATCATTTTACCGTATTTATACGATCGTCGCGGGAGTCGTATCTCCACCGCCCC